GGACTTGACTGAACCCCCAGGTCTCATTCCTCTGCCACCCAGTCCCCCAGTGCCTCCTCCCGGTGCCTTAACTGCTTAACTGCTAACCATGACATTCACTGTCCGGCCCTGCTGGCAGCCCTAATGGGTTCTTCAGATTAAATAATCCCAGCCCAGCCTCGAGCCATCCTGGGGTTGGCCCATTAGACCATGGCAGGAGCCACCCGGGTCCTTGTTCTAATTGAATAATTTACTGTAAATCGCCTGCCATTTCCTTCTGCGTCCAGGCTGGCTTGTTAGCCAAACGGAGGTGAGCAAGGGCGGCCTGTAATAGGAGGCGGGAGCCGAAATGAGCTGTCCAAATGAGCGCTTGTCACAGCGGGCATTGAATTAAATCAGAGACACTCTAGGCTTCAGGTCTGTCTTGTGACCCAGCCTCTCCTGGTGGGGGAGGCATAGCCGAGAGCCCCACAGGACCAAGGCCGCGGCCTCCAGGTGAGCTTTCCCATAAGTTAGGAAGGGCCTTGGGTGGGGTTGGGGGGTGAGGACGCAAATGACGGAGTTTCCTCTTTCTTGTTCACTCCTGCCTATGTCCTTTCCACCTCCCTCGTGGGCAGGGCAGCCCCTCTGCCCTGAGATACATTTCTCAAGCCCTCCTTCCACGAGGAAGAACACTTCCTCTTTGAGGCTACCATGTGCCAAGCACAAGATTCTTTTCTTTCGATCTATTAGGGGCTTTTGCAAGTGATCACATTTAATCCTCATGAAGAAGCTCCTAGGAGGCAGGCATGATTGAGGGAACCTCATTCATGGGGGTTTGTGATTTTCTCAAGGTCATGTGCCAATCTAGTACAGAATCAGGATTTGAATCCAGATCCATCAGACCCCAAAATTCAAATTCTTGCAACACCATTGAGGACAGACAATGGGGAGCAAAGAGATTACCTTGAATCCAATTTCCTGACGTGCCGTATAGCGTTGGAGGCATTGTGCTTGGAACCTCTGCTCAATAGGATGAATCCAGCCTAGGGCTTAGGAACAGTGTCTGCCGGGGCAGCAGGCTGTGGGGGCTTCCCTGACGGCTGCATGTTTGAAACAGGTCTCTCTGTAAAGCTACTGACGGCTTTAGGCTTTGGCTGGGACTGTTTCATCCCCTGATTCCTTTAGGGCCCACAGCTGTCCACATGACTCTCACAAAAGGAACCAAGAAATGAGGAACCAGAAGAGACATCCCCACTGTCCTTGCCCCTCTTCCTTCCACTGTTTGAGTGCAGTGTTGGCAATCTGCTTCATTTTTCCAAGGACTATTCTATCCTCTGGCTGTGTCATGAAGGGCCAGCACCAGATGAAGATGGAGGACTCCCAGTCCGGGAGGTGGGGGCAGTGGGAGGCATTGGTGAGAACGAAGAGAGCTGGCTGGCTCTGAGGGCTGGGGGCTGAGGGTGCTTGACACCATGGAATGGAGTCGGGCCTCCTGTTAGCAAATGCAGGACGCGTGCCACTTGTTCGTTGCCATCATCCTCATCATCATCCTCTCCATCTGCTCCAGCACCTCCCCTCCAAATCCTAAAGCCTGGATCCTAGTCCTCTATCACCTGTACAGCAGTGTGATTTTGAGCAATGCACACACCTCCACTGAATTTCAGAGTCTCATCAGTACAGGAGGATGATGATAGTAGTAAATGAATTAATACTATATGAAGCATTTAGAATAGAGCTTGGCTCTGGTACACATTCAATAAATATTATTATTATTATTATTAACATTTTATAAATATCAGTTGGGTTAAACTCTTGGTACTTCCGATCTCACCTTCCAGATCGTCTCTCTTACCTGTTCCTCACCCCCAGCGAATATGAGCTATGGCTCCTCTGAGAGCTAATCTGATTCACAATTCTGGCTTCGACCTTGCAGGTCATCATGTAAGATACTGGGCCCAGTCCCATATTGAGCAAGTTGTGCTTTCAAGCATCAAGGAGCCTTGTCCCACTGGGAGAAAGAGGCAGGCATAAATTATACAGTCTGTAAACAGGGCAGCATACAGATGCAGCCCAAATGTCCCTCAAAGGCTTCCTCAGCCCCTGGGAAAACATGCAATCACAGGAAACAAGGTTTTGTTTGCTGGATGGCTCCGCTGGCATAACTGCTGGGAGGCTGTGGGTGAAATCGATGAACAAGGACACCTCACCAGGGCATTTTAATGAAATCAAGATATATCAGGTTTATTGTCCCATTCCCCTCTGCTAGGGGCCCAGTGGTCCCTAATGAAAAGGAAGCAGATTGTCTGGGCATAACGTGTTCCTACTGTGCTCTGGCTGGCTTCCGTCTGAAGGGCTCAACAGATCAGCAATTAGGAATCTGTTCTAGAATTTCATGGTCACCAGGCTGTTTCTAGAAAACATAGGTAGCTCTTTTCTAAGAGCTACTTCTTAGAAATTCAGATCATTCACTTGCATCCAGGCTTCTGCTCATGAGAACTCTCCCCTTGTCTGGGTGCATCAGATATGACTTGATCAGATCCAAAGGTCCTCCAAGACCAAGGACTTGCTTCACCTCCTCACAGAACCCTAACTGGATCACGCTTTGAAGGGCCTTGGAGTTTCCCTACTCTCTCCGTGTCCTCGCCTGCCATGAGCTTGAGTTCCCTCTTCGCTGTTTTTGCTCTGCATCCCTTTCTTCTTTATGAAGGAGATGGAGGTAAAATAAGATCTGCTTGCCCACTGCTATCTGATGACATCACTGCATTCACTCTGAGAAGTTGGTATTTCCCTTTGGGGTTCTTTAATCAAACATTTCAGAAAAGGGACAGTTATACCTCTTTTTGTTGTTTCTAGCTTTCTCTTTTGTGCCATCCTTTTCAGGCTGCTGACTCACTGGCTTCCAAGAATATACTTTATCAATCATGATAATAACACTAGAAATGACAATGGCGATATTGCTGCTGCTGCTGAGGACTCATCGAGCACTCTCAAAGCTTTATATGCTTTGTCTCATTTTTGGCATCTCCCTCGGCACAGCAGACCACGGGGCCGCGTGCACAGTAGACTCTCGGGGACTGAGAATAACAAAGGCTACTATCTATCGAGCTCTCACCCTGGCCTGACACTTGCACATGCCTTATCTCAGGTCACTGCTATCAGAGCAATACAATAGAGAGTGTTATTCTCAGTTACAGATAGAGAATTGGGTCTCAGCATAAAGGTTTTAAAAACGTATTCCACTCCTCTTTTCAACAGACACATGGAGGGCTGCCTACATGGCTGGCCCTTGGCTCAGAGCTAGGAGCACAAAGGGTCCCTGCCCTTAAGGGGGTCATAGGGTGGTGGGCCCTACAGCCCCGGAAACAGGCAGCGGCCGTCAATCTCTGGAATTGCATAATGCCCTAGTTTATTCTGAGCTCCTGGCTCCCATACTTTCCAGATCGACTGTCTTATTCTTTATTCCAAGCCTCATAAAGGGCACTTTATGTCCAGCGATATCACTGTTAAGTAGAGTCCTCCTCCGTTCTTTTCTCATAAGGGTCATTTGTAATCATGGAGGAAGAGTTTAATTTTTCTGGACTGATCTTACCCTTCTTAGCTGTTATCTTCCCACAAGTTCATACTTGTGTTTTTTATGAAAGTCTTGACAATCTGCGGTCCTCAAGCTCAGGGCCTGCCAGGTGATGGCCGGTCCTCTCCTGTGTTCCTCTACCCAGGCAAAAGTGACAGAATGTCCCTTTTCCTCAGGGAGGGCTTCCACACTGGCTTGGAGAAGGAGGTGGCAGAGAAGGAGGATCGAAGAGGGGACAGGTGACAGGAGGAGTCAAACAGGTGGGCAGGAGGAAGGACACTCTCATCTTGGTCCAATCTGTGAGGCACAGGCAAGCCAGGTGGGTCCTCAGTGCAGGGACTGGAAGCCCCTAGAACCTGGTTTATGTTTATCAGTTAGGCTGCTTTTGTCTGTCTGTCCACTGACAAAATGATCATTTTAAACAACAAGAACTTTATTATCTTACATAATAGATAGGCCTAAGAGAGGGGGGACAGACTCCAGGGTTCATTGATTCAGTGGCTTCATGATCAAGGAACTCAGATTTATTATTCTCTATGTGCCAGCTTTATTCTCCCAGCTGGGTCCCCATTTGATTGCAAGATGATCTCCAGTAGCCATGAAGTGACGTACTTCCATGTTCGGGTCCAATGGGAGAGATACTGTCTCCTTGTGGTTTGCAGTTAGGAGAAAGAAAACTTTTTTTGGAAGCAATCCTGTCATGGCTCATTGGTCTGAATTGAGTCCCATGCCTATTCCTGAACCAGTTACTAGCAGTTTGGGTGAAATGATATCATCTGAAGTGCAATGGATTTGGGGAAGCAACCACCATGCTCATTACAGAGTCACATTTCCCGGGGATAATCAAAGTGAATAACCCAGGGCCGTGATGGTTATAGAGAATGAGCATGTAGAGTTTCCAGATTTAGCAAATAATACATGATGCCCAGTTAAATGTGAATTCCAGATAAACCATAGATACTTTTGAAGTATAAGTACGTTCCATGCAATATTTGCTGGTCTGTGTGTCCCAGTGTTGGGGTCAGGGCAAGATGGGTCAGGCAAATGCTTGATAATGGGAGATAAAATACTTATAGGGATTCATAGCTTGGGACATAGGACTAAATCAACACTACTTGTACAAGGACAGTAGAGTCTAAACTGGTTCAGAAAGAAGAGGGTTGAGACGCCTGGGTGGCTCAGCAGTTGAACATCTGCCTTCGGCTCAGGGCGTGATCCTGGAGTTCCAGGATCAGTTCCCACATCGGGCTCCCAGTGACGAGCCTGCTTCTTCCTCTGTCTGTGTCTCGGCTTTCTGTCTGTGTGTCTCATGAATAAATAAATAAAATCTTAAAAAAACAAAACAAAACAAAGAGGGTTAAGGGCCCTCCCTCTATACCTACCTTGGCTCCTTGTAGAGGGGAGAAAAAGAGATTGTACCTCTTTTCTGAGGCACCCATTGATCTTGTTCTGCCTCCTCTTTTCCTAGGGTCACGACCGCTGCAGCCAGGCTTTGCTGCAGATTGGGATTAACATGATGGCCTTGCCTGGAGGCCGCCACCTGGACTCCATCCCTCTGCCGGGTCAGCGGTAAGTCCTGTTCTTTAGGGCCAGGCCTGCTCCATCTGGCTGAAGCCATCCTCTAGCTGAGGCCCAGCTCCAGGGTCTTGAAGCTACAGGTGCTCCCACCTGTCCATGCACCATCCTGGAGAGAAAGCTTAAGACAAAGTATTGGGGATGCCACGTTGACTCAGCCAATACTGACAGAAGTGAACCGTGAGACGTGCAGGAATCAGGCATGTCCAGTACCCTAAGGAGATGGGGTCTAAGATGCAGGCAGACAATGAAACAAAGAATTGAATGGGGTATTCTGCTAAGATAGGGGACCCCAGAGGAGGTTCCCAATCCCACCTTGACCAAGAGGTTGGAGCCATTGGGGGCCCTTGGGGTCATGGAAGTTTCTCTCTGAGCCTCTTGAAAGGGACGGTCTACCCTTAGGTGTCTTCTCCTTCTCCCATAGCCCCAGGGAGGGCACAGAGCATAGAGCTGATCCTAGGAGATAATTATTGCCCTCAGTGGGGTGTGGGAGAGAGGTGGGGAGGAGGAGGCGGGAATACGCTGAGCAGCAGGTGAAGCCCAGATGATGAGGGGAGAAGAGGGAGAGACGGGGGCACCCGAGGTGCCTTCACACGGCTGAAGGCTGTGGGGCCCTGGCTGGTCCTGGAGGCCAGAACCAGAACCAAAGGGGGAGTACCAGGGCAGCAAATCTGTGGTGACTCACTGTCCCAGTTGCTGTGCTGAGGGACTGTGCTGAGGTTGGCCCTGAGAGTTTTGTGACTTTGAGAATGCCTGCGTCCCAGGCGAGCGTCTCATGCAGGTTTGATCTACAGAGGAGCTGTGCAACTGGGTGCTCAGGGCTTCTGTCTTGCTCCTCTTTCTTTTTTATTTTCTTTTCTGGGGACATTTTGATGGGGCTGTTTCGAGGAAACTGAATCCTAGTAGCCCTAGCCAGACTGTCAAGTCATTGTTGTTTTCTTTTGTATGTTTTATTTTATATATTACAGGTATCACTGACATCTTACCTTCATTCTATCCCTAATCCCCCCACCTGAATTATCATATCACTCATTTCTATGTTATTTGGTTTTGAGTATTTTTCTAGGTATGTGTTGCTTTAAAAAGTCAGAAAAAATGTTGAATATTTGCTAGAAGCCTACTAGTACTGGGTTAACCTTTATGAAGTCATCAGTGTCTCCCCCAAAGTCATCATTATGGCAAGCTTTACGGGTATGACATACAGCTCACGGGTGCCAGTTAGAATGGGAAACACTATTAGAGAGGTAGCTAGGAATTTTCTGTGCAGCCTGACACTGAGATAAGGGATCGTTTGGGGGCCCAAATATCTCTCTCTCAATCTCTCTCTTTTTAAAGATGTTATTTATTCATGAAAGACACACAGGAGAGAGGCAGAGACACAGGCAGAGGGAGAAGCAGGCTCCATGCAGGGAGCCCAATGGGGGACTTGATCCCAGGACCCCAGGATCACGCCCTGAGCAAAAGGCAGGCACTCAACCACTGAGCCACCCAGGTGCCCCCCAAATATCTTTCCACACAGTGTGTGTTTAAAGAGAGCTCAGAGATTGTGAGAGGCAAACCTGTCAGGATACACGTGTTGGAAGAGCTGATGGCCTTTCATGGGGCGAGCAGGGGCCATCAGCTTTGAACTCATGACTGCCCGGTTTCAAAGCCGGGTTCTATCTCTTACTAGCTGTGTGGCCTTGTGCAGGTTCTCGCACCCCATCGGGTGCGAGTTCCCTCACGTATGAAACGAAGATGAAGAGAGTACCTACCTCATGTAATGTGTGAATTGAAGAAGTTAGTATGTGCAACGTGTCTGTCGCTCAGGGAAAGCTACATAGGGGGCTCTATTGTTTGTTGAGTGCCCACTGCATGTCAGAGGTCCACTGTGATCTCAGGGCAGTCTTCTAGAAACCCCTTCCCTGACTCTTCTTGGCCAGTGACCTCACTGAGAAAATAAGAAATCACCAATGGACACTCCCAGCAGCTTAATATTTTAAGCCAGGAGAAAGTGGAGCTGTTCTAGATGAAGTGGAATCGTAGCCCCCCTGGCTCCTGTCCAGCCCCAGCAGTAGGTTGGTACCCATGTGCCAGGTGGGCAGCAACAGCTCTGGCAATGTGTTGGTTCATAAGCACCTGGGGAGCTTCCCAGGTGCAATCCGAAACCAGCCCCGCTCTCAGAGGCAGAATGCACATTTCGAGGACAGAGAGGGGGTGGGGAGCCTCGATGCCCGGGGTCCTGCACATGGGTAAACTGGTGGTCACGTCCTTTCGATGACCTCACCCAACACAATAGGGTTTTGGGTCACCTCCTCAGAGCCTCATTGGTCCTGGGATGGTTAGACCAGCACCTGTCCTGGCGGTGGGGAAGCTGCTGCCAAGGGCAGTTTAGGACAGTGGTTAAGGGTCAGGAGGGCCTCAACTTCACTATTGGTGCTGCTGCATATTCATTGTGACCTTGGGCTTCAGTTTCTTTGTCTATGAAATGGGGATATTGTACTTACATCATTGGGTTACGATGAGAATTTAAGATAATGTGTTTAAAGCACCTGCGTGCACACAGGAACCGCTCGATCAGTGTTAACCTCTTCAGATGAGGACTAGGTCCCCAGAGTAGAGAATGTGGGGCAAACATAGATCAGACCCTGGTACCCTTTCCGCCTTGGGGAACACTGTCTCTCTCTCTCTTTCTCTCTCTCTCTCTTTCTCTCATTTCCAATCCCCTTAGAAGTTTTAAGGATAAAAGGAAGTTAAATTACATGACAATGATTTAGAAATTGAATTCCTATTCTTTTGGAGGCAGGCTGTTTTTTTTTTTTTTTTTTTTTTTAGATTTGATTTATTTATTCATGAGAGACACAGAGAGAGAGGCAGACAGAGACACAGGCAGTTCTGGCTGATGGCAAAGCTGCAACCTGAGAAGAGGTTTGCTTGGGAAGTCTTAGCCAGTGGTGGCTGGGGGGCTCAGTGGTTGAGCGTCTGCCTTTGGCCCAGGGCGTGATCCTGGGGTCCTGGGATTGAGTTCCCCATCGGGCTCCCCGCATGGAGCCTGCTTCTCCCTCTGCCTGTGTCTCTGCCTCTATCTCTGTGTCTCTCATGAATAAATAAATCAAATCTTAAAAAAAAAGAAAAGAAAAAAAGAAAGTCTTCAGCCCTAGTGTTCTGATAGGGCAGGGTGGGCTGCAGAGGGAAGGTGATTATTTCTTTTAATATATTCAGAGCCTGGCCTGGCCAGGATATTGGGGGAATGCAATCTCTGGGCCTACCGGCCTATTAATTGTGTGTGTCTTGGGGGCACGTGCATGAGCCGCATCCACAAGGAAGGCTTACGTGTATTCACAGGATGTCAGAGGGGTTAATGTCTCCAATCCGATGTTGCCTTGTGGACAGATAATAGCAGCTACCTCTTCTTTCCTCTTGTTCCAGGCTCTAGAGGCCTCTAGAGTGGGGAATAACACCATGGTTATTGTCCCCACATAAATAATTAATGCTGGATAATTGACTTCTTTCTGTCGTGTTCCACTGAAACTGAATTTCACTCTGAAGTGCCATTGTTCGCATCAATATGCAAAATCGATAAATGCCGTCAGGTTGCGTGGGATCATCCAGCAGCTTGAGTGACTCATATGTGTTAGGCCTTTGGTATTTGAGACCCTTATGAATAAATAGCCTCAAAAAAGACTCATCTAGGCATGAGCTCCTGGGAGAGAGTTGAGGGCAGGGGCATGGGCATCCCGGTGCAGGGGCTGGGATCCCATGCTGACCTGTGTGGGTGATTGGAGAGGGAGCATTAGGGTTCTCAACTCCAAGTGCATCCGAATCTCCTGGAAGGCTTTCAGATGTAAAATTAATAAACAAGCCAAAGAACAGAACCCTACTCTTAGAAATGTTAACGTGGGTCTAGGGTTGAAAGCGTATAGGACTCAGACACGGGCTCAAGTCCCAGACATGGTCTCAACTCCCTACCAGCCGTGTGACCTTGGCTCCCGCTGACCCTGCCTGTCAGATGGCACATCTGTGTGCTAGTTATTATCTCTATTTTGCAAATGATAGGTCACAGCTTGGGTTCTCTGGGAAGCAGCCCTGGGATGGAGTTGAGAGTTCAGGGTGCTTCTCAGAGAATGTTTTTGGGACCAGCACTTGAGGGAGGGAGAGGACAGAAGCAGGACCAAGGAGAAGGAGAAGAGTGAGCTGAATGACTTCAGCTGTCCTCACAGGGAGCTTTGGAATCACAGTTCTGTTCATTGGCCAGGGTGGCCAGGGCCTTCATGTCCCACTGGTATATCTTTCGAGGGGGCAGCTGTGAGCAGGGCATGACCTTCGGCGAGGTGGCTCTGAGACAGTCTGAGGGCCTGGTGGCTGGAGGCTGTTAGCTAATGATACTCCCAGCAGCTGGAGACAAAAAGTTCTTTCGTAAAGCAGAATCTGAGCAGCACATACGCCTGCCCCACGAGGAAACTGAGACTTGCCCAAGGTCAGAGCTTATAAGAGCAGAGGTGGGATAGATGTTTCTAGATGATGCTTGAGCCTGCGTGCTGGCCAATACCCTATCCAGTCTGTCTTTTCCACAGTGTTCCTGGGGGCGTTGCACAAACAGACCATTCGCTCATTCATTCAAGTAGTCATTTACTCATTATTAGCCTCCCACAAAATCTTTCTACACCTATGTCCTGAGTGCAAATCATGTGCCTTGTATGATGCTCATGTGCTTAGGCACATGTTGGTGGCGGAATTGGGCATGGTCCCTTCCCTCATAGAACTCACTGATCTATCTCTTGACCTGATCAGGCCTATAACAAGGATACAGCTCGGGTCTTTGGTTTGGGATCTCTCATTCAGTGAATCACTTTCTTACCTGCCTTCTGTTCAGCCTGGAGTCTGAGATAAGCCAGCCTGGGTGCTGCCGCAGCTAATGGCACGCAGCCTCCCGGATCGCCTGGCCTGCTGGTGAGGAGCCGTCCAGCTTCTGAGCCACTGGGGGCCACCGCAGGCCAGCCTGTCTCCAAGTAGAT